AGTTTATATGGCTCCAGATACGCGTCAGTTGAACCTGAGACAGCTACTACAGCACGTGCTAATAATGACACTAATTCTCATAGTGTGGGTAATAGCTTATTGGAAGTAAAAGATAACGTAGATAACAGTAAGCAGGGAACAAGTAGTTCGTGCAACAATAGGCGAGATCATCAAGATGACGCAGAAACTGCCATCGCTAGCAGTTGCATCTGTCATAACACGCAACCAATCCGTGCTACACCAAATGATTACAATGGACCTCACCAATATAAGAAGAAAGATTCACGTAATTCGATGACCATGTTATGTCTTTGTAGGAAATTAGTGGAGCATCATAAACCAAGAGGCACGCACTTTATAGGTGTAAGACGTACAGCAAAGGGTTTTAAATTCTTGGTGAATTGTAATGGCAAGCGTTATACGCATTCTGGTTTTGCGCACGACGTAGATGCCGCATTGGCAAGAACATATTTCATTTGTAGCAAACTTCGTGAACATAAAAAATATATTCTTGATATAACAAACGGGGTTCTAGACGATCGCGCATCTAGAGCTCGACGATATTTTCAAGGACGATAACATAGAAGCAGTACCGGTAAAACAAAACAAGGATCAGTATACGAAGAAGTTTTTGCATAAATGCAAAGATGGACCCGATTTTCCATGCCCGTCATGTGGAACAATGTGTTTTCAACAAAACGTGGCAAATGCGAAGCACGGAAATGCGGAACAAATCGTGTATCAAAGTTGTGCACGTTACATTAGCAAAGGAAAGGATCCGTCATTTTTTACGCTAAATAAAGTAGGCTTTCCGTCTCAACCCGTTGTACTCAAAAACCTTACAACGCTAGAAGAGCGTTTAATAAGTCCGCACATACCATTTATGAATATAACAATACAGAGACAATTGCAAGCGCGATCTTTTTGCACTTTTGCGTCAAATCGGTAGGCCAACGTTCTTTATAACCCTATCAATGGCAGATACCCGCTGGGTTGATCTTCATGCGATACTTTAAGAGTAAATACATTACGTGGGAATCCGTGTAAATTGTCGTCCGGTATAGGCTTACCGTTACAGTATAGTACGATTACCACGTTGGTAAGAAATGACCCTGCGACTTGTGCACGATATTACGCTCATAGAAAGATATTGATGTTTTGTTATATGTTGAATAACAAGTCTGACGTTCTTGATGGAATCGATGACTATTTTGCACTTGACGAATTTCAACATCGTGGCGCGCCGCATACGTATGCCGTTGTTTGGAGTAAAGGTGCGAACGAGATTGGCATCGCTGGAGCGGACGCTATTGTAAGGTACGCAGATAAACATATCAGTACGAGCTCTAGAGGCTTATATCCACAATTGTTGTCGTTACAAATACACAAACACTCAAGAACTTGCCAACGACCGAGCTCCTTACGTAAGTGTAGGTTTGGTTTTCCAAGATTCCCGTTACCTTCAACGATGCTTTTACATCCCAATCCTGCTACCCTCTCTGTACGGGAGCGACAAAAATTGACGAGTGATGCAAGGCGCGTTAAGGAGTGGCTCGATGATGCATCGTCCGGAAATAACATCACTTTCACTGTTTTTTTGCAAAAGGTTAGTCTTGTTTTCGATGAATATCTGCTTGTTATTCGGTCGTCACTAAAGCGAACAACACTGGTTCTACGTCGTCAGGTAAGTGATGTCTACATAAACAATTATAATCCCACCCTTCTTAGAATGTGGAATGGGAATATGGATATTCAGTTGTGCATTGATCCATATAGCGTGGCAGCGTACATTGTATCGTACATGACAAAGGCAAATAAAGGTATGAGTACCATGATGCAGAAGGCTTTAGCATACGCTCGTAATAAAAAATCAGGAATAAAGGGAATTCTTCGTACCATTGGAAACGCTATGTTGAATTCTCAAGAAATAAGCACACAAGAAGCATGCTATTTGCTACTTGGGTTACAATATCGCATGTCAACACGACAAGTCGTCTTCATTAATACATCACCACATAATGAACGACTACTAACCCTTAAACCTATTAATAAATTGCGCCAATTAGAGTCAACGAGCACGGACGTGTATGAACCTTACGCATGCATTCAAAAGTATACAGCGACGGAAAGTATTGCCCGGATAATTGCCTTAAAACATTTCTCGTACTGGTTTGGTGCCTTCTTTGTTTAGTTACGAATCAAATTTCGGGGTTGGATGTAAAGTAGTACTGTACTGTATGTGACGGATGCTGGTTTCAGTTTTATAGGGGTCGATTTTTTACCGAGGACGAGATTTCGTCCGCGTGGGTGCATCCGGACAGTTTAGGCCAAGCAGCGTAGTAGATCTATTTCCTAACCTCGCTATTTCTTCTTACTTGCCCTCGCGACTATCGAGTAGTCAGGAGATAGGCTAGGACCGCTGCGATGATTAGGCCGTCATGAAACCGTTAGATGAGGCGCTCTACGCATAGATCATTCCCTTGTTGCGGAGGGGGTAGAGCAATCGTTGAATCGCTAAACAGCTAGCCATAGGGAAGAGTTCGGCCCATCAAGGCGATTGTAGAGTCTAGCCGCGATGACGTGCGTCCTACGATGCCCTCAGCCGGTCGCCCTCGCTTAGTGACAGAGAGAGTTCGCCACGGCATAGTTCGGTTGATTACCCTCGAGGAGGCAAAAATCTCCACTCACGTGGCGAAAATCGTTGAGAAGCAGCACGGCATCACGTTGCATCCTAAGACATTGCGTAACGCTTTGAATGGGAGCCGACTTGTCGCAATCAAGCATCCCAAGAAACCGCGACACTCTCGGAAAAACATACGCGATAGGCTGGAATGGGCGCGTGCCCACGCAGACTGGACGGTTGACGACTAGAAGCGAGTTATCTGTGCGGATGAGACCAAGATCGGTCGTCTTGCTTCCGACTGACTCTCATACGCCTGAGTTCACGAAGGGACTGCCCTCCAAAGACACCAAATCAAGCAGACCGTCAAACACGGGGGCGGTTGCTTGATAATTTACGACTGCATGTCGTAAAAGGGAGCGGGTTTCATGAGCAAAACATATGGTAGGGTGGACGGACTGCTCTCGCTGAGTATACTGCAGGACGATCTCAACAGTACGATTGAGCTTTACCAGCTTACACCCTCAAAAACTATCTTCCAGCACGACAACGACCCGAAGCACAAGTCGCGTATCGTACAGGAGTGGCTTTGAGAGTAAGATTCAGGGGTGCTAGAGTGGCCGTCTTCCTCACCCGACCTCAACCCAATGGAGCATTTATGGGCTCATCTCAAGAGGCAGCTGGCCAAGCCTTATAAGCCTCCCACTGGTATGCTGGACCTTTGGGAGCTGGTGCAGGAGAAATGGGAGAAGATCCCGGCGGATGCGTGCACCCACCTGGTGGAAAGCATGCCCAGGAGGGTGAGGGCGGTGTCTAAGGCGAAAGGGCGGTGGATTAGGTACTAGTTTGGGGTTGATGTAACTTGCTGCTTGCGCCTGGCAATAATTGTCCACATGTACCAAGATTGTTATTTTCTAGTATTTGTTGTAAACATCATTATACTTGTGTGATGTAAGGCATGGGTGTGGAGCCTTACCCCAACCTACATACACTAGGCACACCAGAAGATTAAGTCTTAATGTCCATGACCCCCTAAAATGGCAAAATTCCTCTAAGTCACAAACATGTGGACAATACTTTCCGTCGCTGAAAGTTAAGGCCAGAAGCTACGAAACATACGTGCTTGGCCGATTTTATTTCCAAGTATGAATTGGCCCCATACGATTTGAGCAAGCATAAATTACACTTGATTGGTCCTGACTTAACTAAGGAAAAGAGATTCTATTATAAGCGCGGAAAGTGTAAGATAATAAGATTTGTGAATTATCATAAGAATCGGAATTATAACAATTATATTCGAGAGAGGGTTTTATTGTTTCATCATTTTCGAGAGGAGCCAATCGACCATGCTGAATGTTCTGATACATATCACATATTTGAGCGAGATATTATTGCGAAAGAGCAAGAGTTCACGAAAGAGTTAGATACATGGGCTGACGCATTCAAAGAAGCCGAACAAGCCAACGATGATCGCATATCAATTGAAACACAAGATTCAAA